TGTGTGTGTGTGTGTGTGTGTGTGTGTGTGTGTGTGTGTGTTAGGGTACGACAGGGACACAGATGGGCGGATATTACAAAACACCTCCACAGACAGGGGCAGCACCCTCGCATCATCAAACCCAGGGATGTTTCTTCAGAAGAAATTGGTGGACGGCGATAAATAAAAATGCCAAGGGTCTCATAACACTTCAGGTCCAGTTTTGCCCCCAAATGAGTAACAGAACCACACTTAGAAGAACTCAGTTTTCCAAGCCCTGGGGACGAAGAACTGTGGACCTGCGGAGTCTTGGACGAGGAAGCTAATCTTGACACTCCCACTAACTCTGACCTCCACAAATCTGCTCTCCTGCCTGAGCTCAAATGAGGTGAGGGCTTTTACCAATATACTTTAACCCCCCCTTCCATAGAATAAGGACTCTGAAATCATCTGATGTGGCCATGCGCTCTGTGGGACCCCTTGAAAAATGCAGGTTCAAATGACCGCAGACACTCAATGTTATTAAACAGGACATCATCTTGGACTAGATTTTAATAGAGACCAGCAGTGCCATGATTCCACATATTCCTGTCACTGTTTCCTGTGAGCGAGGGAGACGTCGTTTCCCGGGGCAGCACCTGTGCAATGTGACTCGACATCGCTTGGAAGCGAGCGCGACGTAAGTTCAAGATTCATCACTGTGAGTTAGCGTCAGCTCGCTCCTATAAAGACCAGGGAAGCTGTTTTGTGCCAGGCATGTAACGAAATAATAATCTCATCTTGGTTTATCAGCTTTGAAAACATGCTACTCTCAGACCTTGACTTTGAAAAAAAATAAAAAATCACTTTCACATCAGGAATTTCACACATTCGAGAGGGGTTACGAGAAGGTGGCACGCCCGGTTAAGCGCTTGACTACCTACTCACCATGAGGTGGGCAGTGTGAACCCACTGAGGGGCCGCGGAAGGCAAGGCTGCCCATGTGCTTCTGAGGACAGAGCCACAAACCCAGAGAGCAGCTCCTCGCTGCCACCCGTGGAGTCCCCTCAGTGGACTCAACTCAATGGAAACTGGTTTTGCTTTTTGGGGGGTAAATTAGTAATTTTATGGTTTTAACATTTTGTAGAGTTTGGGAAATTTTTTTTTAAGAGCCCCCCTCTTCAAAAACCGAGGTCTTTTTTTTTTCCTTCACCAAAATGAACTGGAATGTTCTACCATATATATGGTAGGTATATGTATATGTACATACATACATACATACATGCACACACACACACACATATATATAGAGATGGAGTGTATGCAAAAGAGCAGGGGTGCATGATATGGAAATGAAGGCAACTCTCCTTGAGTCAGGCTGAGCGCCTACAGAGAGCAGATGGAACAGGCAGTCGGTCAACACTTGCCACAAGCACTCACTGTGGGGATCCACGGACCACACAGCAGGACCTACAAGCAGAAACCGCTTGTGGGAGCCATGAGGATTTCCAGGGCTACAGAGCTGGAGTGATGGGCAGGCTCCTGCACAGGTCACACCATGATGTTTGTAGGGTCCATGGGGAGTCATAGAAGGAACAGGGTGATCACTGTGTTTCAAAAACAAGATCATCTTTGCTTTCCAATCAGCCTTGCCCTACTTTTTCACTTGAATGAATAAGGTATTCGTGTACGGTCTTTGACCTCGGCCGTTTGCCAGTGGGTCGCACTGTGGTGGTGGCTTGCGTGTTGCTGAGATGCTGGGAGCTATGCCGCTGGCATTTTCAAGCACCAACAGGCTTCTGCTGGCAGACAAGTTTCAGGGAGCTTCCAGACAAAGACAGACTAGGAAGGAGGTAGTGGGGATCTACTTTGTAACACGGCCCGGGCCAGCAAGATGACGAGGACGGAACACTGTCTGACACAGGGCTGGAAGACGAGCCACGGGGGCTGGGCAGCACCGCCAAGAGATCTTCCTGCTGCAGATGGAGCACGGCTTTCGGGACCTGCATTTGCTGATGGGGCAAGATGCCAAATGAGAAGGAGCAGCTGCAAACACCCATCCATAACGATGACATGGGATGTATGAAGGATGAATCTAGGGAATTCAGATGTTGTCAAAAATGGAATGGAAGACACGAGATCGATATCCTACACAGTGGTGAGCTGCCATGGGCAGGTATCGGCCGTTTTTAATCAGACGGTCACATGACCTACTATGCCGGGAGTGACAGACAAATGGAAGGGGAATCGTGCTATATTCGCTGTCAACAAGGGCACTGCAAGATCTATCCTGCGATACAACGCTGTCAGGGATGAGATAATAGCCACATGGCTGCAGGAAGACCAGTTAATACGACTACTAATCAAATTACGAGCCCACCATCATCGCCACAGCTTCTGCAGCCTCGAGTGGCCCAGCACGCACTCGGGGTGCACGCACGGTGTCTGGACCGGAATGCAAGGGTTGGAAAAGAAGGATGGGTGGTTAGAAAATATGGCCGCAGTGATACAAAGGACACTTGAGACCATCACTTTTCCAGAACAGATTTTTCCAAAACTCAGCTACTATTAATCGGAAATACCTACCCCCCATTCCCCACTCCACCCCACCACTACAATAAACAGTGACCACACACTCGGATTTCACCAGCTGGAATACACAGGAATTAAACTGCCTTTATCTGTGAAACATGCTGATGGAGAAGCTCAATGTCACCAGTCAGAATAAAGCCAGTGGCTGGCTGACTGTGGGACAACTACTAACATGCCAAGTTCAAGTTGAAGCTGAGGAAAACGAATATGAATTCCAAAGACTCAAAATATCCCTTTGAGTAACTCTCCCGGGGACTTAAGGAGCAATTCAAGAACAAGATTGACACATCTAACATAAGTAACTGATAACCAGAGACAAAATACACGAAGAAAGCAAACGGTCATTAAAAAGACAAGAAAGGAAAGATAAAAGTGGATGTCAGAAGAGACTCTGAAACTTGCTCTTCACCACAGAGCAGCTGAAGTGAAGGGAAGAAGTGATAAAGTAAAAGAACTGAAGGTTTTATGGGGTCCCAAGAAGACAAAGTCAAGTATTATAATGAAACATGCAAAGACCTGGACTTAGAAAACCAACAGTGACGAACACACTTAGCACTTCTAAGCTGAGGGGATTGAAGAAAAAATTCAAGCCCCTAGTTGCAATATTGAAGGAGTCTGTGGGCAAAGGAGTGAAAGCTTTCAAAAGGAGATGGAAATACACAGTCGCCCAACCAAAAATGAGGGGCTGACAGTCAATCATTTTGGGAGGTATAATGTGATCGAGAACTGATGGTACTGAAAGAAAAAGTCAACACTACACTGACGACATTAGTGAAAACCTGACTCCAGAAACCGATGGAACACCAACTGAGACGTTTCAGCCAACGGATGCAATGCTGGAAGCACTTACTCTACCACACCAAGAAATTTGGAAGACAGCATCCTGGCCAAACTGAGACATCCATATTTGTGTCCAATCCAAAAGATAGATTATCCAACTGAATGTAGGAATTATTTAGCAGTGTCACATGCAACCAATCTTTTGAAGAGAACTCAAAAGTGGTTCCAGTCCATCAAGAGGGAAGTCCCAGAAATGCACCCTGGATTCAGAAGGGGACAAGGGATAAAAGGTGTCATTGCTGATGGCAGATCCATCTTCAAAGCTGTGGAAAATATCATAAGGGTGTTTCTCTGGGTTTCTTGACCATATAAAGGCATCTGACTTTGTGGTTTGCGGCCAGTTTGGGTTAACATTGTGCAAAGTATTCCGGAACATTTACTATGCTCAGGCGTGCCCAGACCAAGAGTCAGTTGTTTGACCACAACAGGAGTTTATCACCTGACTTAAATCAGGAAAGGTGTGCAAAGGGCGCTCTCCTTTCACTGTACTTGCTCCACCTGTACGCTGAGCAAACACTCTGCGAAGCTGGGCTCCATGAAGAAGAAGGTGCATCGGGATTGGACGAACACCTGCTACATGCAGGTGGCACAAATTTCCTTGCTGAGCATGAAACGATGAAGACTGAAGACTACAGCCTTGATAACAACTCAACATAGAGAAAACGGAAACCCTCACGGCGCCCCAGAAAGTAAGCACATGGTGATCAATGGAGGAAAGGCCGGAGTTGGCAACACTCTCACTTTACTTGGACCCAACGTCCATGGAAACCGTCATCAAGACATCCAACAACTGTGGCACTGGGCGAAGCTGCCCTCAAGAGCGAGGGTGTGCCCTGACCCAAGCCAGGCCATTTTTCATCCCTTCACACGCACGCAGGAGCTGGACGAGGAATCAGGAAGACCAAAGAAGGGAGACCTCTGCATTAGGGTGTGGTAGAGATGAGGGAATATTCCAGACAGCCAGGAGAACAAACAGATATGTACTAGAAGAAGGACAGCCACAATGTTCTTTAGAAGGGAAGGGGGCAAAATGCAGTCTCACGGACTCTGGACCCGGTATCAAGAGGGTCCGGGCCGGTCTTTGGAGAAGGGCAGCATGCTTGGTGTAGGGTCAGCAAAAAAAAAAAAAAGGGAAGATCCTCAGAGGGATGTGTTGACGTGATGGCTGCCACAACGGGCTCCACCCAGCGATGACCATGAGGATGCTCAGTGTCGCTCAGTCTGTGGTCAGAGGCTTGCGGTGAGTCAGAACCGACTGGATGGCACCGAGCAACCATCACAGCCGTCTCTGGCTACGAGGAGACCTGCACATGGCTGGGTTTTCTTTCTTCAGTTGGGTTAATTAACTCATGATTAATTTAAACAGTCAAGTCAAAACTTTTTGCTTTTTCTTTTTTTCTCGTCCCCCCCTTCCTTTTGTACAAAAGTATGACAGCAGGAGAAGGAAAACTGGGAAGGCAGACGAGGACTGAGGAGATGATGGGGTGATGGGCCAGGCCGGTGAACTCCAGGTCGTCATGGCTGTTTTCAGAAATTGTAAACTTTTAAGTTTCTAAGGTTTTATTTCTCTTCAGAAAATAAGGAAAGAGGCCCCCTTTTCCCCAGGGTTGGGATTTGAAGAGGTGTTCGTTCCCTACGCATAGGTGTCTGAAGAAGACAAGATTCTTCCTTCTAGAAAGTGTGTCTCTCAGACCGCTGGTCTGGCCCTGCTCTCTCACGTCCCCCGGGGCGTCCCGGGATCAAAGAGAGAGAGAAAGTGAGAGGGAGGGGTGGGTGGTGACACTTGGTGTCAGGGGCATGCTGGCGCACTTTAGACCCACTCGTGCCGGGTCATGTCATCTTAAATAAAACACGCCGTGTCAAAAATAAGAAGGGTGGGAGCAGCGGGCACCAGGCGCTGTGAAGTAGCCATCAGGACAGATGCGCGCCACCCAGCACCCTTCTGGACACACTCCGGACGGGGAAAAGGCCAATAAATACGTGAGCAGTCACATGCTCATCCCGGCCACACGCTCCTCGTCCCCACCCTCTGGGCTCCCAGCCCAGGAAGACCAGGGCCCTCCTGCCGCCCCTTTGCACAGTTTTCATCGCCTGGTCTGAGCTGGCCCTCCCTCCCTGCAGCCAGCCCTGCTTCGGAGGGTTCTGGTTCAGTCTCCGGGGGCAGAAATGATACATTACTGTCTGCAGCGGCCACGGCGCCCCACTGAGCGGCAAGCTGTCCACGATACACAGAAGCGGTCCTTTTCCGAGGCGGGGGTGGGGCAGGCATCAGGCCGTTTTGTCCACAACTTCTGATTTCTTTCCCTGCACCATGCAGCGACGGACTATGCTGTCAAAACTCCCGAGGTAAAACAAAGCGATCGTGCGGAAAAGGCCCATGGTCACCACCTGCAAGGCAGAGACACAGAGAGAACTCGGCTGTCAGCTCAGTGTCCTGTTCACCCCAGCTGGGGCCTACGGATCTGTATCTAGTCAACAGGCTCCAAGACACAGCTACGATTGCAGGCTTGCAGGACTCGTTGTCCAGGCCAGCGGAGTGGTCGCCTGCTGCCACAGACAGCAGCAAACTCGGCTCAGTGAATCCGCTCCAAGAGGAAAGGGGCGAAGCAGGCACGTCAGCTTAGAGGGATAGCCACTTCAGTCTCCCAAGTCTCCAACTACAATCAAGGCTGTTGTGGCTCCAGGTTTATGCTCTGAGCACAGAAGTGAGACCCTACATCAGCCTCCTCCAGAACCCCAATCTACATAGGGTTTCCAAGCCTCTGTACATCTTTGTGAGAGCAAACTGCTCGTCTTTCTTTTGCAGAGAGGCTGATGGGCTTGAACTGTCCACTTAGGGGTTAATGGCCCAATGGTTACCCAACAGCCCCATCAGGGCTCCCGGTCAGACCCTACAGACAGGAGTTTCTCTCAAGACAAATAACATAAGCCTCCTTCCTAGTCTCAATGCCTTACCTTAAGAGTTTTCACTTGTTTCCTACTTATTTGTCTTTGGTAAAGAAAAACAAAAACTTGATGCATCAATTAAAATTCTTCGCACCCCTCAAATAAAATCACCCACTCTTTCTCCAGTCTCTTCTTGTGGAGACTTAGTGAGAAGTAGCCTTTGTCTGTCCCTCCATCGGTCCACCAGCTCAGCTGCTCTTACCTGCTGGAGCCCTTCTGTGATCGAGGTTACTGGCGACATTCCACAGGTCAGCAATGAGAGCATGTACCCATCGGAGCCGATGGAACTGTTAAAATTTCCCTGCTAAAATAGAAGGCAAGAGAGAAGAGGACATTGTAGACATATGCTTGTGGGGGTGGGGGGTGGAGGCCAATTTCACAATTCAGGAACCTGAGGTAAACTCACTCATGGTGGGGTGGGGGAGGGGGGACCTGTTAGGGTGTGACCTCTCCAGATAGGAGGGCTCACAGACCCGGGGAGCTGGTGAGGGATAAACCCAGAAGGGCACGGCTTCTCTTGCTGCAGTCACATCTACACGCCTTTCCTGGGTGGCACAAAGCCACGCACAAACACAGAGGCGACGTCACAAGAAGAAGCCCTAATGGGCATCAGTCAATGTCCCTTCTGCTTAAAATGCCCCTGACCTCGCTGGAAAATCCATGTTTTTCTAGAGCTCAATTCCGGAAGACCTGTCATCTCAACGTTCGATGGGCCCCAAGGAGAAGTGCCGTGGGCAGGAGGCTCAGGCCAGCTGCCCCAGCTTGCTTTTTTCCCAGGCAGCATTTTACATGAGAACCCCAGGCGCACTGGCCACACCAAGCAGACCCCGGAAGCCACGTTTTGCGGAAAATGAATGAAGCGAACCTGTCATTTCAAAGGAAGCTCCCAAGGGTATTTGTGGTCAAGATTAAATCTAAGGTTTCTAGGGGGGAAAACACCCTGAAAATGGAGAAAACTTGTACCCACCATTCTGAGTTTGTCAGCTTTTGGGTAAGATCAGCGGTACAACTCAGGACTACAATCTTTTTCCATAACTTTAATGAACCCATATTTTCCCAGTGACTAATGCATAATGCTACACTATCATGAACACAGTATCCAACCAAACTACATAGGCAGACCAGCAGAGTTTAATGTAACAGAGAACAAAAAGTTCATTGATAGTTTCCAATTCTGTGTTGCAACCAGTCTTTAAGAGTTTTGGTGTACATCAAAAGCCAATTATCTGAAACGCTTAGGAAACTCCTTCGCCTCTCTTTTCCAACTACCTGTCCAACTACTAAAATCACCTTGTAAGAGTCGGCGTGAAGGGGCCACTGTTCACGAGCCCAGTGGTGTTCTTCTTTCTATGAGGGTGACCGAGCTGGAAAACACTACTCTCTCCTTCAACTGCAGCTCTGAGAAATCATCACTTTCCACTGAAAGGTTACTTTAAAATATAATGGCCTTGCTACGCTATTAAATAAATTGATGCAAACTTCTAATTTCTGATATGGAAAACAGTGATAGAGAACCCCCATAAACACCAGTTCTCTGGGGTCGAGAGCTTTTAAGAATATAAAGTCATTCTGAGGTGGAAAGGTGTACAAGCTGCTGGACTAAGTGAATTCTGCCAAAATACAAAAACAAAAACACCAAATAAACCACAGAGCACAACAGAGCCAAACGACCCAAACCCACTGCGGTCGAGTTGATTCTGCCTCATGGCGACCCTATGTAGGGCAGGGGGAGCTGCTCCGCTGGGTTTCTGAGGCTGTAACTCTTGAAGGGGGCAGAAAGCCTCATCTTCTTCCTGCAGAGCTGCAGGTGGTGTCGAACTGCCGATTGTGCAGTCAGCAGCCCAACACATAAGCCCTACGCACCAAACCCAAACTCACTGTCATCCATCTGATTCTGAC